AAATACGCAGAAAGGACTTGAGCTATTTTGCTCAACAACTTACCTTTGCCGTAAGGCCACCTTGTACGTTAAGTCTGAAATTAATCATAATCCGAAATTAATCGTATATTTCTATCAGTAACATACATATAATGAGTTGTACTTAATAGAATTTTCCTAAACATACATGACTTGACATTATTTCGCTCACGTGGATCATGAGTCTGGAGCACGCTGCCTGTTATCGATACAGTATCGTGCACGCATCGCCACCTAGCACTTGATGAGGCTCATGGCCCATAATCTTGGTATAAGTATAATGAACACGCGTCTGATTAGTTCCCCTTCATATTACACCTGGTTTTCACGTTTGCCCAATATTATTGGTCGGTGGAGTGCCTTCTAATCCAACTGTTGATGCCTGTAGTATCTAATATAGGTACAATTATTGCGTAACTATAAGTATGTACTTACCGGTCTGTGCGCTATCTATTCATTAGCTACTGAATGTTTGCGAATTCTTCAACTGACAATGTATTTTACTGTCGTATTTTACGATAAAGGAGATTGTAAGTACCTATTTGTAGGAAGGAGTTTTTTTTAGTGAAATGTTACCGACTCCTAATTAACATTGAGTCATTATCATCAGCCCGTGGCAATAATTGTCATGTTTGGCTGGCGAGTCATAGGCCGCCGTTTTAAATGGATCAAGTTTACCTTTTTCCCTAGTTAGCTTTGACAACAAACGGCTACGGCAACGCACTCATGACACCTCTGGTGTTGTTGTGGACACCACACCACTGCCACATGGCAAACTTTTTATACATTTATTAAAGGTTACATGGAGATAACATGAATTGGGATTGTTTTTTTTTATGGTATAAGTCGGCAAACGAGCTGACAGATCACCTGATGGTAAGCAATCGGCGCCGCCCATGGACACCCGCAACACCAAAGGAGTTACGAGTTCGTTGCCGGCCTTTTGGGGATAGGGGTTGCGGATATAAGAATCGGGATGGGATAGGGGAAGGGGATATTGAGATCTAACAACATGTTAAAACCCAATAACAATCTAAGTACAATTAGTTTACTTTCAAGCGTCTAAGTGCTATTAGACAACGCGTATTTTGCTTCGCGCCGTGTTTAACGAGCACATCCTGTCTGGTGCTGGTCTCCTAGTACATGAGTAATGTGCTCCTGCCCGAGATATGTTTTCTAACCAGGTCACAAGTTCCTTGCGACTATATTTAGTGGATACGCGATACATATGTAAATGTATACTTAACATACTTTTTTAGAGTACTTAGGCCGTGGTGAAATGACCGTTTCTATCAATATTTTTTGTATTTTATTTCGCGACGTATTTAGGTGTTTACGATACAATAAGGATAGATTAGTTTCTGATACTTTACTAAATCTTTATTGTGTTCAATTTGTTATTTACCAGTATCTGATAAACAATGAAATTGATATATTATGTTATTGACCCTATCGGTAAGGCAATTAAATATTTCAAGCGTTTGAGTTTCTCGCACAAAATAAAAAAATGCCTGCATACACACCCAGTTAGTAAGGACAATATTAAAAATGTTGTAATACAAAATTTCCTCGCAGCAAATCAAAATTATTTGATAATGCGCGATTATATGTATATTATCTGGTATTAAGCTTAACTATCGACAGGAATGTGTGCGAGTGATTTATTGCAAATAAAAAGCAACACAAATAATTGTACTTACAAATTAACTCATACTGAGAAACTATATTACGTTCCTCTTTCAATGAATAGGATAGCAATAGGATACGTCTTGTTGGCGTCGATGTTAAGGAACCTGCATTTAATGCTGGAGGATGTGGTTTAGAAACCTGGAAGTACTAATTTGCCTTTTTCCTAATAATGTTATGTGCTTTCTTAAATTTTTTACACACCACTGACAGGTGAAAGAACACATCGTGGGAAAACTTGGTATCAGAGGAAGTCTTTACTTAGCACTTAGTCTGATTAGTCAAAAAAGTTTTGTATTCGAGTTAATTTGTGAGAGTTGCGCTTTCGACATTCAGAATGCCTGAGGACTTCACCGTTATATCTGTCTACAAATAAGAAATATGTTGTTTTATTTTGCTTTTAATCTTTATTTTTAATGCAGCAAGACTATGCAGGAGACTGTACTTCTGTGTGGTCACGTTTTACTAACAGCATTATTACCATTGATAGGTATTGTTTTGTCTATTAGAAATTACAAACTTCACTGATAATTGTATACACAGGTACACACATGTGATAGTAATTGTGAAATATTGATTATTTATTTATTTGGGTTAAGTGTATTGTACTCAGTTTCAAGATCAACTGTTTCATAATGACATTGTACTATTTAGTGCTGATTAGAATTATGAAATTGAAATAATAGAAGCTATGAAGAGAGATATTGTATATCCAGACTGTTTATATTTACGTGTAGAAGTGTAGAAAGTTTCTAAGTTAGTTTAATGAAAAATATCTACATAGCCCATATCATAATATCATCACAATTAGCCTAAAAGTGGCCATTGCTAAGTAAAGGAATCTTCCACGCGACGAAATTCGACCACTAATCACCAAGCTTTCTAAAGGCGAATTGGCAATAATTAGAAATTTCAAATAAAGCACGAAATATTTTCTCCGTTATTTATCAATGTGTTTAAATGAACTAAGAAAGTTTATATCTATATTTTGATAACAATGTGAAATATTTGTACTTGCCAGGTATCGCAATCTCATGCATGTATGATACGCAGAGACTGTGCCTATTATCTATATAAGTGTTAGGTTTGATTCTTTCAAAGGACTACCTCCGCTCCTTACACATTTAATGTGATGCATAGTAAACAACAATATCGTGGCCCAGATGGCCGGCACACAATGACTGCGAGACATTGAAGTATCAATATATTCAGTTAATCGCTCCATTGTTCACTAATCTGTTTTTTCCTTCGTTCGCACGTTGACTTGACCACAGAGGTTCCTTGTGTAGCAGGATTGTTGTAATTTTTACGATGTTTACGATATAAATATAACAATTAAAACGGACAAATTCTTGTATATACTTAATTAGTGGCGTCCAGCTCCTGCTCCACATGGACATTCAACAACCATGGTGTCAGTCATTTGTTTTGCTATCGAACCGCCATGGCATTGGAAGGTTTTCTATTTCTCATATTATCCATTTATCTGCTTTACTTTTTAAAAACCTATTTTTGTCCCTACAAATAGACAACAAAATAGAATTAGCAACATTCATCAAGGAGTTGTTGAATAAGCGTTTAACAAAAAAAAGGCTGGTAAATAATTATGGTGTGTACATGAAGTAGGCAAGTGTGATGGAAGGTTCCACTTAACATGTCACACTCACACGTGTCACTCTTGCACAATTATGTGTGTACATAATCCCACTGATTATTTCGATAATCCTTGCTAATCCTAATATCTAAAATTGCGGCGATAGACTCTTGGTTGCAGCTCTATCGGGCGTAATCTCACTGGAAGCGGATGAACTTTGTGACACTAGATATACCAACAAATAGCACGTAAACGAATGTGTCTTCATGTCTAATACATTTTCGACATTTTTTTTATGTTGTAAGTCGGGAAACGGATTACCTGATGGTAAACAATCAGCGTCGCCCATGGACACCTGCAACAACGGAAAAGTTACGATTGCGTTGTCGACCTTTTGGGGATTAGGGATGACAAAATCTCCAAATAGATTTTGGGAAAGGGAACGGATTGAGGTAAGGGGAGGCCAAGCCTCCGGTAACCTCACTCACACGGCGAAACACAACTCTTTGGTTATTTCACGCCCGTTTTCTGTGAGGCCGTGGTATCACTCCGGTCGAGCCGACCCATTCGTGCCGAAGCATGGCTCTCCCACATTTTAATGCAAAAGGATACATTTGAAAATCTACTCACATATTTGCATATTATGTGCGTTGGTACTCTATTAGTGGTCTAAGCGTCCTGTATTTTTTATAATCTGGTTAAACGATCCCTGTAATTTCTTAGGTATAACAGGAAATGTATTTTGTTTTTATTAAAATTCTGTTAACTTACATATATTAAACCATAACTGTACAGTTAACTACTTACTTATCCGTAAGTATCCGTAAGTATACAAACATGTATGTGTTAACAAAATGGAACGTAAAATTTTACTCAAATACATATCCAACATAAATTTAAGACAAAACAAATAAGTGACAAGTATTTTTTTATTTATTTTTTGTTATTGTCATCGTTTCTGTATTTGCCCAGCCGGTAGCATTGTGGCACTGTGCTAATCACGCTACGAAACACATATCTTTAATAATATCTAAATAGTTGTAATCAGTATAAAATCTGGCATTTTTAATTACACAACTAAGATAACATACCTAATTTACTTGAAACTAATAGACTCAAGATATTTAGGCATATAATAATTTCTCGCAATGTAATGTATGATAGGAAAATAAATAACAATAATTTATTAGTAATTCCATTTTGAATCTAATTATTTTTGAGATAAGAAACTTATCTCTATAAATTTAAAATGTGTCGAGGATTCGATTCCTGCAATCAACAATTCTCTGTTTGATCCACAAATTGTTATTCCGGGTCTGAATGTGGTGTGTATGTGAAATTTTATGTTTGTAAACGCGCCTACGAAGCATGAGAAAATTCTAGGATGGTTATGGACACATTGGCTTGGATTGGATTGGCTACTGTAACATTGGCTTTTCGGAAACCTGTGTCTCCAAATCTCAAATCCCCAAAAGGTCGGCAACGCACTCGTAACACCTCTGTTGTTGCAAATGTCCATGGGCGGCGCTGATTGCTTACCATCAGGTAATCCGTCTGCTCGTTTGCCGACCTATCACATAAAAAAAACATAAAGATGCGATGCATTACACTTCATTTCTATTATGTTGACCAAATTAAATGTTAAAGGTATCCTTTTGTGTTATATACACATGTCTTAAATTGTCACTTGGATGTCTTTCAGATGTAAAGTACCAGAATGCGAGTCGTCACCTCCTGAGTTCGAGGCAGGCAGCTGGGGCACGTTTGCGCTACCCGACGCTGGGGCGCGCTGCAACCGCCTCGTGCCGCTGGGGGAGGAGTGTGTGCCTTCCAGCTTCAGTGCCAACGAGACCAAGAAGTGCCAGTCTTGGGTCTATGAGAACCAGAATACAATTGTACCTGAGGTGAGCAAATGTTGGAGTTTAAAAAGATCCATAATGATTATTATAATCAAATTTACCTTTTTAATTACCCTGTTATTAACTTAGGTAGTTCCCCGAAGTGTGATCAACTACGATAGTATTTGGCAATGAATCTAATCTAGTTTTACGATCTCGTGGAAGACAGATACTACATATAAGAAAAGCTTTACGTAAAGTATTAGCTTGACTTAACTAAATGTACCGCGGCTCGGAACAGGAGATGAATAGTGTGGTATGTTAGTCACTAAGAGTTTGATACTTGGTTTCACCTTACCCAGGGCGGAAGAATATTTTGAAGAAGATTTTCACCTTTCAAAAACCATAGTGGTGACTCAGGAAAAGACAACAAAGTCTATGTCAATTTCATGCCATTCACGCGTTTTATTCTAGCCAAGCTACACGAGTGGTATGTGACCCACACAAAACCTTTTTTTTTTGAGAAGCGAAAGTCATAAAATGACTTTTCTCGAGAGGGAGGGTCAGACTCTTACTGAATAAAAACCTCCCCGTTCAATCTCCAGCTCCAGGCTGAGTCGCAGTACCTTATTGCGCAACCTCGTCTGAAAATCAACCTTGCTGGGCCTCGTCTCTGGTGCTGGTCGGGCGGCCACGCTTGCAGTGGCCTGAGATTGTCCATAAAAAACCTATTGTCTAACTAACTGTCATTACTTCAAGTAGTATACACGTGTCAATTCGGAGGGCGCTATATAAGTAGCATTTAAGTATTGAGGCTTCAGACTGTTTGATAGATTGAGATTAGGTGTTATTGAATAGGCACTCATGTTAAAATAGTAGAACATTGATAACAATAAATTTATCAGATCGCAATTCGGCGGCCTCGGCTACTTGATGTTTTATTGTAAGCAATCACTTAGATTATTTCAATAATTATATAGCATATTTTTAAAAGAAACATCAATATAACATACGGCGTGGGTGATTCTTCACATCAATTAAAAAAATAATAATAATGTCATTATCCTCAACCGAAAATTAACGAGTCTGCTGATTAAAACACAGATAATTATTTTATTAAATTAAATCTCACCACTGCTTACAAGCAACCGATTAAAAATATTGTATAAAATAAATTACTAAGATGCTTAAAAACCTGGGATGATAATGACTTGTTAAATAAAAGTTAAGGTTTTTTGGAGAATCACCCGCGTAACCATTCATGACAGAAGAGTACCTGCGCGGCACAGACTCTCTCTACTATTACCTACTAATAAGTTTTTTGTCGTGGTGTTTCAGTTCGACTTGGCATGTCAGGAATGGCTCCGCACGCTGGTGGGCACCATACACGTGGCTGGCGTGTTCGGCTCGCTGCCCGTCACCGCCTACATATCCGACGCGTGAGTTTAACTTGTAGCAAACTATTTCTACCGTCTCATAATATGTAGTGCATTTGCTATAGCTACGTTGGTAGCTATACAAGAAGAAATGGGATCGAGTGGTGTTATCATAGGTACTTGTTATTAATGATATTCTAATATGTAGGTATATACCTACTCTTATTAAAATTATTAAAATTGATCCCAGATTTTCATACTAGACTAATCTCGTAGAGAGCCAATTCAGCTGTAAATATACGTTTCTTGTTTTTTTAGATATTAATAAATAACTCAGCTCTTTGCAAACCTCCGAGCGATCTGCGAGTCCATTGATAAAAATATATTAGATCTGTAGAATTGAATTCTGAGCAGAAACGTTTAACTGTAGCGATATGTTGATCCCCAGGTATGGAAGGCGCACAGCTCTGGTGATCACAGCGGTCTCTCCGGCGGTGGTGGGAGTCATCCGAGCCTTCTCCAACTCCTACATCATGTACATCTGCTTTGAGTTCCTAGAGGCCTTCGTCGGTGCCGGCGTCTACAGCACTGCATTCATTCTAGGTGATTGCATTACGTAAATGAGTTTTGTAGCACAGAATAAATAGATTTTTGTGTGTCACTTAAACTCCATAAAAATAAGAACGAATATGACATTACATATTTCTGTAACAGCTCTTGAGATGGTGGGCTTAGACAAGCGTGTCCTGGGAGGTAACCTCATCTCCAGCACCTTCGCTCTGGGGCAGGTGGTGACCGCAGGTGTAGCTTGGCTGGTACCCTACTGGAGGACCTACACCCTCGTGCTCTATGCCCCATCAGTGCTCTTCATCTCATATTACTGGCTTATTGAAGAGAGTGTGCGCTGGTTACTCAGTAAGGGGCGAAACAAGGAAGCTGCCAGAATTATTTTCAAAGCTGCGAAAATGAATGGAAAGAAGTTGTCTCCCGAAACTATTAGAACACTGACTGAAGAGCCGGAACAAAAGAAATCCACTCAGACGGATGAGCCGGAGGAGCCAGTAGACAAGCGATCCATTCTACTGCAGGTGGTGAGGTCTAGGACGCTGATGTTCCGTCTGATTGTGTGCTCGTTCTGGTGGATCACGCTGACGTTCGTGTACTACGGGCTGTCCATCAACTCGGTGTCGCTGGTGGGCAACAGCTACGTCAACTACATCCTGACGTCGCTCGTAGAGATCCCTGGGTACTGCCTCAGTGTGCTCACACTCGACAGGTTCGGCAGGAAGAGCTCCACCATGACAGCGTTTATCATTTGTGGGGTATCATTGATAGCGATGCCTTTCGTACCAGAATGTAAGTTATTTAAGTGTTTACGTTTGCATTACAATATTTTCAAGAGGTTTTTTGAAGTCATATTATCGATTTACCTTTTTTAATATAGTTACCTTCTTTAACTAAGATTAATACTTTTAATTATAGCAATACCCTGGCTGCAGACGACCTTGAATCTACTAGGCAAGCTATGCATCAGCATGGCATTCAGCAGCATCTATATCTATACCGGAGAGCTGTTCCCCACGCAGGCGCGCCACCGCTTGCTCGGCACCTGCTCCATGGCGGGCAGGATTGGAGCTCTCGTCGCGCCACAGACACCTCTGCTGGTGAGTCAATTATGGATACATAATAATAAAACTTGAATAACTCTTAAACGTTAATAAATTTTAATACTTACTTACAATATCATAAGGACTAAAACGAGACAAATAATCCCTTACTTAGTTTTTCTTACAATTTTTTTTTTTTGTTCCCTGAGTTACTTTGGTCAGTTTGTTAGACTTGTGTGTTATCAAAATACTAATGATATCTGTTTCTTTCACAGATGGCATACGTAGAGTCGCTCCCCTACTTAATATTTGGCATCATGGCGGGCACATCTGGTCTACTCATGATGCTAACGCCGGAGACCTTGAAGGCCAATCTGCCCGACACCGTAGCGCAGGCTGAGAATATGGACAAGAAAAAGACTACTGCGCATTAGCATAGGAAACAGCACCTTATTGGTTATAACTTAAGATAGATCTTATAAAAATAATGCATTTCAAAGACAAGTACTTTTAGGCAAAGGGGAAGTAAATAGATTTCTTATTTGTCAAGCATGCATAATAATGTATTTATTGTAGGTTATTTATTTTTTTATTTTATTTATTTAGGTAACCAACAGCGATACATAATAATGTTTTACAAAATATGAGTATTACAGTTTATATGGCCAATTATAGGTTTCCCTGTGTAACTATGTTATATGTTTACATGCGAACGGACTAATTCCGGCTATTTAGATAATTAATGAATATAATTTTAAATACCGGTGGATCTTATTCAAAATTTTGAAAAAAAAAGAAAATTGAATATAAACTAAGCATGATATAAAAGAGTAGATTTGAATGGCAGTCTGTCATTTGTCGCCGCCTAATATACATTTCACTATTCGTTTTTTGAATGTAGGTTTATTACAATTAAACATATCAACTTCTGAAAATTCCGAGTTATAAGTTCGAACAATGCGAGTCAACACACTGTTACTAGCATAGTTAGTGGAGTGCCTGGGTACGTGGAACATTGGTGTATGACGGGTGCGTCGCAGGGGAGTGTTAAACCTTATCTGTGCCACCAACTCCGGGCAATCAAGACGTCCATTGAGTATATCATACAGCAAACACATGTCCATTACTTTACGCCTTTCTTCGAGTGTAAGCAGACCATATGTTCTACAGCTATCTTCGTACGACATCGGAGGTTTACGAAGGCGATAGGTAAGATGGTTAATAAACTTTTTTTGGATTCTTTCTAATTGATTTTTATGAATGATGTATTGCGGAGACCAAATTGGGCATGCATATTCTAAAACGCTGCGCACATATGCAAAGTATACCGATTTAAATGCCCCAATGTTTTTTAATTCCTTACAAGATCTAAGTACAAAGCCTAGGTTCTTATAAGCTTTTGTACTGATAAGGTCTATGTGATCGGAAAACATCAACTTATTGTCGAACATTACTCCCAAATCCCTAACCCTTTGGACTTTATCTATGACAACTCCATCAAAATTATATGAGAAATTAATCGGGTTCCTCTTACGTGTGTAACTGACACATTGACACTTAGCGACGTTTACAGTGATTTTATTATTTCTGTAATAATTACTTAAGTGATTAAGATCCTTCTGAAGGGCCTCACAATCATCAGGTGATCTTATTTTATAAAATATTTTTTTGTCATCAGCGTACATTAAATGATCAGAATGTTCGAAGGAATCGGTGATGTCAAATAGATATGCATTGTAAAACAGAGGTCCCAAATGAGATCCCTGGGGAACCCCACTAGGGACCTCAATAAAGTTTGAACGATAACCTCCAAGTACTACAGCTTGCGAACGTTTAAATAAATATGACTGCACCCAACGTAAAAGGTCCCCGCGTATTCCCAGTCTGTAGAGTTTCCTGAGCAAGATGACGTGATCCACACGATCGAAAGCTTTTTCAAAGTCCGTGTAGATCACGTCAACCTGGCCCCCGTTCTCTGTATTCTCAAGCACGAAATTGGAGAAACTTGCTAAATTAGACACAGTCGAGCGTTTCTTTAAAAAACCGTGCTGGTAGCATGAGATTCCTCTGAGGATATACGGATAGATAGCGTTGTAAACCAGTTTTTCAAATACTTTACCAATCGTATCTATTATAGAAACACCCCTATAATTTCCTATCACTGTCCTCGAGCCTTTTTTATGTATCGGTACAATGAGAGCTTTTTTCCATTCATTTGGGAAGGTACCTTCTTTTAAAGACATGTTAAAAATAATACTTTATTTACATTATTAAAAGGCCTTCTCCGTTTCCAACAATCTATGACATTGGGACGTTGATCATGACAGAGTATAAAAAATTTAATACCGTCAGTCATCAGTTTAATTGTGGAAAATTTAGAACAGGCATTTTTTTCGTAATAAAAAACAAAACTTAATGTAAAACGAAGTTAATGTTTAGGGGTGGGAAATCGCTACATCATTCCTATGTACAAACCGAAGTTATTTTTTTTTCTTAGATACTATTATGGCAAACTAGCTGAATTATTACCTGATGATAAGCTATCGGCGTTGCCCATGGACACCTGCAACATCAAAGGAATTACAAGTGCGTTGCCGGCCTTTGGTAATTAAGGTTTCGGATATTTAAAGATAGGGAAAGGATGGACGAAGGGGCATGATTGGGCCTCTAGCTTGGCTCTCCCACACTTAAATTAAAGAAAATCTATATGTCTGATGTTTTTAATTAATGGACTAGAATTAAAATGTGCATGTGTATAATATTATTTATTGTTTTTAAGTAATACATTTTGTATCTGTTAAATAAGAATAAAATGAATTTTTTTTTTTTTTACAAATACAAATATTCTTTATTGTGGTACATAGGTAAACAGTGAGTTGTTACATGGTAACGGCCGAGGACGCAATACTTATTATATTTAAGAATTGTGATCATTACCCCAAATATTCAGGCACATAAATTATTCAATAATAATAATATAGTGACATGGTTATCTGAAACCTGGTCATTGCAGTATCTTAGATTGAAAATAATGGATGTCTACATAATCGCTTTAATTTATTTATTGTGACATTAAAGTGTCCTTATAAATAAGTCATATTTATGTAAGTACCTTATGTATGTGAATGATTCTGATATATAATACGTAGTAATTATAGTTAATTTTAAGTTAACAATTATTGTAAATTTCTAGTTTTATATAAAAACTACTCTCAGCTACTGTTTAGCGCTGATGACGAATACGGTAGTTTCCAACTATGCAAATTTTAACTGAGTTATGACGTAATAGTTTCAGTGTATCGATCGAGTATAGTTATTTTTCAATATTTTATTGTATTGAAACGTCGAATTAATTTCTTTATGACCCAGGAACATACCCAATTTAGTTCTGTCAAAACTTTTGTAAAAAGTTTAGAGGCATAGATTTTAGTCTCTAATCGACACTGGCGCCTCTATCGGTCAATTCAAGTAGCTTGCAAAGTGAAAATTTTTGTTTAAGGTTTTATGATTGTACATAGATTGTATAAATACGGCTACAACCTTCTGAACTTTGTTTGGAGTTAGGTAATGTTACTGTCGAGATGTAAGTATATTTTTATTGACATTATGTTACATAAAGAGTAACGTATTAGTAATTAATTACCAACAATATTGTGATATATTTAGTCAATTTGTTGTTAATATATTCCTTCATTAGTACAATGTACGTAGTAAGTAATTATTTATTTATTTCATTGCTTATACGTTTGTTCATAAAAATCCAGTTCGTATTGTAGAAGAAACATTGATATAGTTATTAACAATGATATTATAAGTAAAAAGGTGTAGATAGGTCATAAGTGCTCAGCAAGTGATACATTGAAATGTGCCACACTTTTTCATATTTGTCTCTTTTTCACTCACGATTATTAAATCATGCCATCCCACTTTGACGTCTAATCATACAAATTGTTCATGTGTGCATCAGTGTGCCGTTTTTGAAAATCGAATGTTGTTTATGTAACCTATCTACACCATTTTACTTATAATATCATTGGTTATTAAGATATTTATAGATAACATTAATATGTGCATGTGCATCTTCAAGTAATTTACGACGTACTTTAATTTTTCCTTGAGACTCAGCCTTTGTGACTGAAAGTAGGTCAGGGGATTTTTTTATTCCGTTGTGCTATATTTAATAGGATATTTATATAAATTATACAGAGTGAATCGATATGGACATTCTCGTTATTTCTGTTATAGTAGAACTAATAATAACAATAAATATAACTCGAAATGTTTAAATCCTAAACTAGGCCGAGGCACTACCTTTAATCTGTAGTCATTTTTTAATAGTAAAAGTCAATTAATATCTTCTGCTACTACCCTATATAGGGTCAGAGGGAAAGTCAGACTGTTACTGACTAAACCACTCCATTAAATACCAAATAAATTTGAATTTAGAATTGAATTTGCATGACTTACATCACACATCAGTTTATGGGATATCTATATTAAAAATAATTATAATGTAGCTGAAGGGTTTGAATGAACGCGCTAATCTCAGCAAGTACTAGTTTAAATGAAAAAAATCTTTTCTGCATAGTTTATTTGTCAAGAATGGCTATTAGATAAAATATATCACGCTACCACTAATAAGAAATGAGAAACAGAGTTTAATGTATAAAGTTAAAGCACTTAGTACAAGTGGCAAGCAAATTTAATTAGTTTAATAAATAAATATTAATTTACCAATTATTAATAAACTAAGTTTAAGTTTCAACTACGCGTTACCTAATGAAATAGTTGCTTTTGTAAAGACAATGTCTTTTGCTTTAAATAAGTATTACTTATGTACCTATTTCAAAAATATAAATAATAGAATTTGGCTCTTTGTAATATTAAATGTAAAACATTGTTGAAAAAATAAATGAAATTCCCACAGACATTTTAATACCATTTCCATTTCGTTCTAGTCATCTTCGCCCAAACAAAATACAGGTTCTAAATAAATATATGAAAAAACGACGATTACCAACTTCAACATATTGTTTTTATTTCAATTTTGGCACGGTAAGGCAAAAAGGTTGGTGAATAATCTTACTTCTTACTAATACTAATATTATAAATGCAAAAGTTACGATGTTTGGATGTTTTGATGTTATTACTCAATCACACCAAAACGGCTGGACGGATCTCGATTAAAATTTGACACAGGCATAGGATAATTTTTATCAACATACAACGCGGGCGAAGCCGCGGTCGGAAGCCAGTAATATATTATAACTGGAAAATCAAAGAAATCAAATATAACTTACTATACTTATTTACTGCCCCAATAGGGCAGAACTCTTAAAGTAAGTTGGCTTACAGTTGTCTTGATCCAGAGACTAATGTAAGTCTAAGTGTGTAACGGTCACATGGACGAAAAGGCGATAGGGCTTCACTGGCGCCATCTTTCCTAATATTCTAGTCATGATTACTTGTGATTCGTATTTCGTTCGTATAGATTATGGTATGTAGTGGCAGGAGAAGTAGCGGTCAAAAGCTAGTAACAAATACGTAGATAAAGTACATATTTAATAGATATAATTGACGCA